TGCCTTGCATGCATGAGGCCCTGGGTTCGATTCCTCAGCACCACATAAGCAGAAAAAGCCGGAAGTGGTGCTGTGGCTCAAGTGGTAGAGTGCTAAGCTTACAGCTGAAGAGCTGAGGGACAGTGCCCAGGCCCAGAGTTCAGGCCCCACCACCACCACCACCAACAACAACAAAAAAAAGAAAAGAGGGTCAGGGCAACCAGAAGCCCTTGGCTTAGTCCTAGTATACTGTTCCTAGGGTCAATGACAGCATCCTGTTTGTAAATGAAGTGGATGTGCGGGAAGTGACCCACTCAGCAGCAGTGGAGGCCCTCAAAGAGGCAGGCTCCATCGTGCGCCTCTATGTCATGCGCCGGAAACCTCCAGCTGAGAAGGTCATGGAGATCAAACTCATCAAGGGGCCTAAAGGTAGTAAGCTATTCCCCCCCCCCCCATCTCCATTTAAGCTGTACTACTTCCCTTCATCTCCCAGGCCTGCTTCCCAGACACATGGGCATGCACCTTGTTCTTCCCATCATCCAGGTCTTGGCTTCAGCATCGCAGGGGGCGTAGGGAACCAGCACATCCCCGGTGATAATAGCATCTATGTAACTAAGATCATCGAAGGGGGTGCCGCCCACAAGGATGGGAGGTTGCAGATTGGAGACAAGATCTTGGCGGTGAGGACCTGCCTCACATTTCTTGCCCCTGGGTTTCCCTTGGAGGCTCCTTGTGTCTACCTTGGGGCCATTTCTGGCTCTGTTTGAACACTGCTTCCCTTGTCCCTTCCCTCCCCTCTCCTCCCCAGGTCAACAGTGTGGGGCTAGAGGACGTCATGCATGAAGATGCTGTGGCAGCCCTGAAGAACACTTATGATGTTGTCTACCTAAAAGTGGCCAAGCCCAGCAATGCCTACCTGAGTGACAGCTATGCTCCCCCAGACATCACAACCTGTGAGAGCCCTCCAAACCCCAAAGCTCCCCCTGACTCATTACCCTCATGACATACATGCAAGTCTGTGTCATCCTTTGTGGCCGTTCCTCTGTAAATTATCTCCATGAAATGGCCATAGCCTCTGATGCTTGCAGTGGTTGGAGAAGAGATGGAAAAATCAGTTACTGCAGAAGCACTAGAAAATATCATCAGTGCTTTTTTTCCTTGGCAGGACATGAGGCCCACTCAATTTTAAGGCTCATTTGATGAAATACTCAAGGAATAGAGGATTCTTCTGCTCCTTAAAAGTATAGGCAGATAAAAGGCTCCACTTGCCTTTTTTTTTTTTTTTTTTTTTGGTGCTATTCCTGAGGCTTGAACTCAGGATCTGAGCTCTGTCCCTCAGCTTTGGTGCTTAAGGCTAGCACTCTACCACTTGAGCCACAGCTCCACTTCTAGTTGTTTGTTTTGGAGATAGGAGTCTTTTCTTCCTTCCATTGGCTTTGAGCCATGATCCTCAGATCTCAGCCTCCTGAGTAGTTAGGATTGTAGGCATGAGCCACCAGCCTCACATGTCTTTTTTTTTTTTTGCTGGTTGTGGGGCCTGAACTCTGAGCCTGGGCACTGTCCCTCAGCTCTTCAGCTCAAGGCTAGTGCTCTACCACCTGAGCCATAGCACCACTTCCAGCCTTTTCTGCTTATGTGGTGCTGAGGAATCGAACCCAGGGCCTCATGCATGCAAGGCAAGCACTCTACCACTGAGCCACCTTTCCCATCCCTCACATGTCATTTTATAAAGCCAGTTTAAATGGTCACAAAGTTAACATAGAATGTGTAAGTTTACAATACCATGGTAGGAACCCAAACACAAAAGCAAGATAACAATGTTACAAAATGAGGTTTGTTTCAGAAAACTAAAGGTAGTTCAACATTAGGAAATTCTTTACTATTCATTATATTACTTTGTTGTGTGTGTGTGTGTGTGTGTGTGTGTGTGTGTGTTCACCTGCTGGTACTAGAGCTTGAATTCAGGGCCTCGTGCCCTAACCTGGCTTTTTTGCTCAAGTCTGGTGTAACATTTGCCACACTTCCAATTCCTGATCCATTATATTGAAAAATTAAAAAAGAAAAGATTTAATGTCATCTTGAATAGATGTAGGAAAGTCAATTGAAATTCATATATATGTTGCAGTACTAGGGCTTGAACTCAGGGCCTGGCACTGTCCTTAAGTTTCCTTGCTTAAGGCTAGTATTGTACCACTTGATCCACAGCTTCGCTTTTGTCTTTTTTGCTGGTTAATTGGTGATAGAGTCTCATGGGCTTTCTTGCCAGGGTTGGCTTCAAAAACATGGTCCTCATATCTCAGCCTTCTGAGTAGCTAGAATTACTAGTGCCCAGCTTTAATATCTATTTTCAGTTGAAAACTTAGTAAACTAGAAGCAGAGGCATTTACGTAATATAACGAAGAATAGTTATTGGCAACAAACAAATATTTCATGACAAAATCCTAGCAGTGTGTCCATTAATTTAGGAAGTAGACATGGGCCCTTCTATCATTGCTGTTGTTTTTCATTGCTTTGGTGCAATTTCTCTGTGTTGGTAGTGTTAACATTTGTCGATATTTTTTTTTGGATCTTATTTGACTTATCCCCTTCCTTTCTTTCTCCCTCCTTTCCCTTTGTCTGTCTGTCTGTCTGTCTGTCTCTCTCTCTCTCTCTCTCCAGTACTGGAGTTTGAACTCAGGCTGGTGTGCTCTTGAGCCATAGCTCTACTTTTTGGTGGTTAATTGGAGATAAGGCCTCATGGGCTTTTCTGGGCTGGCTTTGAACTGTGATCCTTAGATCTCAGCCTCAAGTACCTAGAGTTATAGATGTGAGACAGTGGTGTGGACTCCTTCCTTTCTCCTTTTATTACTGTGCTAAGGATTAAACCCAGGGTTTCACATCTGCTAAGCAATAGCTGTACTACTATACCTCTAGTCCCTACAAAATTTGTATCCATATGTCTTTTTATTGCTACAGATTCTTGTTATTTATAGTACATAGCCACATTCTTATTCTCTTAAGTTTTTCAGTTCACTTAAGATATTAATCTAGGTGGGTCACAGTATAATTTTCAAATACAAGATAATTTTATTTGCACTCTTTTTTTCTTTCTTTTCTTTTTTTTTTTTGGGGGGGGTCCGGTCGTGGGGCCTGAACTCTGGGCCTGGGCGC